CCTGCGTTGGCATGGGTTTTCTCCTGGTGCTCCGGTTTCCCCCACAGTCCAAGCACATGCGCTATAGGGGAATTGATGTACTAAATTGGCCATAGTGTATGAGTGTGTGTGTGAATAAGTGTGTATGGGTGTTTCCCAGTTTTGGGTTACAGCTGGAAGGGAAACCGCTGCGTAAAACATATGCTGGAAAAGTTGGCGGTTCATTCCGCTGTGGCAACCTCTGAATAGGAGACTAAGCCTGAGGAAAGTGAATGAATGAATGAATGAGGATCAAAATGTAACCCAATGTTAGGGTTTGTTCATAATTTACCCAATTTGGGTTGAAATAACCCAGCACCTTTTTAGAGTATGGTCCAGTAGAATAAAAGCAACCAGGAAGAATATTCAGATGATACTAATTGTTATTTTAAAATGCAATAACCTCCAAAATAAAGTAGAAAATTACTATAGTAATTTGTAGTAAATACAGTGTCTTTTAATACTTATAACATGTATAATAGTGTAGAATTTACAACCCTTTGTTAATGAATGTGGCTGAAGGATTAACTTGAGTGAACTGATGAACTGTAACAAATACTGCAGTATACTTTCACTTTCACTTCAGTAAACTGTGGTGTGCTGTAGTACAATATACCCTATAGTTGTGGAAAACTACAGTATCAGGTAATTTGTTTATATTACTATAGTGGTTGTGTTTCCATAGCAACTGCAGAATCACCACAACAGTTTAATTACTATAGTTGCCATGTTACCATAGCAACTATAGAATCACCACAACAGATCAAATACTATAGTTGTTGTGTCACCATAGCAACCGTAGAATCATCTCAACAAATCAATTAGTAGTTGTTACCATAGCAACCGGAGAATCACCACAACATAAATTACTAGTTTTTCTGTTAACTGTAGAATCACCCCAACAGATCAATTAGTATAGTTGTTACCATAGCAACCGTAGAATCACCACAACAGTTTAATTACTATAGTAGTCATGTTACCATAGCAACTGTAGAATCACCACAACAGATTAATTCAGATACTTTACCATAATATTTTTCAAAAACACTACAGTATTCACTATGAATTGCAATATTATTGTGGTCTATTTGCATATATCTATTTCTAATCATTTTACCATGACATGTATGATTTCCAGTTCAGCTTGTATTATAAGACTCCACCAGTCACACATTTAAACATGAGTTTTTTTTTCTGTAATTGTAAAATGGCCATTATTACACAGGCCTTTTGATCATAGTTCAGTGTTTCTCTTCTGTTTGTGTCTGTAAGAACGATGCAGAATAATTGCATAGCCTACGCGTGACACAGCTTCTGGAAAATATGCTGTAGGTAGGAGATAAATGTTCAGGGACTTCTCGCCAAAGCAAGGTCAGTCTTTAAAATCTTCTGAAAGTCTTCAATGATGACTCAGAGGAAACTTACTGTTAGAAAAAAAAAATAACATGGGCCCACATGCTAGTTAGCAGCACGCTAAACACCACAGAGCGCAAAGTATGGGGAAGATCTCACCAACTCACCGACACAGAGCTGAAAAGAGCTTGCACAGGGTGAAAGAGTTCATCACATAAAACAAAAACCCAAACCCTGAACCTGCTATCTTCATCCCTCCCTAACAAAATACAACTTTTGTTTAATATATAAATCTCCGTTTCCAACAATCCTCCCTCAAAACTGGTTTTGTGGCTGTTTAGGGTCTGAATGAATACACATGAATGTTATCAAGAATCATCCGTGCTAAAATAAGAGCAAGGCATTAAACCGAGACTTGGAGAAACCATCGTCACAGTTTGAACAGCAAGCATGAAAAGACACTGGAAAAGTACAAGCTGTGCAAGTGCTAACGCTGCCAAATGCCTGAATTTAACCTACATTTTTTGTAGCCTGTTCCACCGAGTAAACACTATAAAGCCATCGCCAAGCTACTGTGACACTTACAGCTGTTCCAGGGTCAATTGAACTAAAATAAACGCACATTTTCCATATTTTATTTACGTATACTGTGAATCAGATCAGCTATTTAGTACAGGGCAACATTTCAGCTGTTTGGCGCTGTCAGGGTAGAGCTGTGACAAAAATATCTTTGGGGAAATCGATTCTGAGGTTTTCAAAATGCGTCAATATTCTCTCTTGAATTGATTCTGAGCTTAGTTTTTAACAGCAGATGGCGCTCTAGGCTAGTTTTTAACAGCAGATGGCACTCTAGGCTAGTTTTTAACAGCAGATGGCGCTCTAGGATAGTTTTTAACAGCAGATGGCACTCTAGGCTAGTTTTTAACAGCAGATGGCACTCTAGGCTAGTTTTTAACAGCAGATGGTGCTCTAGACTAGTGTTTACAGTAGATGGTGCTCTAGACTAGTGTTTACAGTAGATGGTGCTCTAGACTAGTGTTTACAGCAAATAGTGCTCTAGACTAGTGTTTACAGTAAATAGTGCTCTAGACTAGTGTTTACAGTAAATGGTGCTCTAGACTAGTGTTTACAGTAGATGGTGCTCTAGACTAGTGTTTACAGCAAATAGTGCTCTAGACTAGTGTTTACAGTAAATAGTGCTCTAGACTACTGTTTACAGTAGATGGTGCTCTAGGCTAGTGTTTACAGTAGATGGTGCTCTAGACAAGTGTTTACAGTAGATGACGCTCTAGGCTAGTGTTTACAGTAGATGGTGCTCTAGACTAGTGTTTACAGTAGATGGTGCTCTAGACTAGTGTTTACAGTAGATGGTGCTCTAGACTAGTGTTTACAGTAGATGGTGCTCTAGACTAGTGTTTACAGTAGATGGCGCTCCAGGCTAGTGTTTACAGTAGATGATGCTCTAGGCTAGTGTTTACAGTAGATGGCACTCTAGACTAGTGTTTACAGTAGATGACGCTCTAGACTAGTGTTTACAGTAGATGGCGCTCTAGACTAGTGTTTACATTAGACGGCGCTCCAGGCTAGTGTTTACAGTAGATGATGCTCTAGGCTAGTGTTTACAGTAGATGGCACTCTAGACTAGTGTTTACAGTAGATGACGCTCTAGACTAGTGTTTACAGTAGATGGCGCTCTAGACTAGTGTTTACAGTAGATGGTGCTCTAGACTACTGTTTACAGTAGATGGCGCTCTAGACTAGTGTTTACAGTAGATGGTGCTCTAGACTCCTGTTTACAGTCGATGGTGCACTAGGCTAGTTCATAGTTGATGGTGCTCTAGACTAGTTTATAGTTGATGGTGCTCTAGGTTAGTGTTTACAGTATTTACAGCAGCACAGTATGCTGTTAAAAACTAGCCTAGAGCGCCATCTGCTGTAAAAAAAACTAGCCTGGAGCGCTGTCTGCTTTAAACACAAGCCTAGAGCGCCATCTGCTATAAAAAACTAGCGCAAAGCATGTCTGCTGTTAAACACTAGCCTAGAGCGCCGTCTGCTGTTAAACACTAGCCTAGAGCGCCGTCTGCTGTTAAACACTAGCCTAGAGCGTCGTCTGCTGTTAAACACTAGCCTAGAGCGCCGTCTGCTGTTAAACAGTAGCCTAGAGCGTCGTCTGCTGTTAAACACTAGCCTAGAGCGCCGTCTGCTGTTAAACACTAGCCTAGAGCGTCGTCTGCTGTTAAACACTAGCCTAGAGCGCCGTCTGCTGTTAAACACTAGCCTAGAGCGCCGTCTGCTGTTAAACACTAGCCTAGAGCGTCGTCTGCTGTTAAACACTAGCTTAGAGCGCCGTCTGCTGTAAAACACTAGCCTAGAGCGCCGTCTGCTGTTAAATACTAGCCTAGAGCACCGTCTGCTGTTAAACACTAGCCTAGAGCACCGTCTGCTGTTAAACACTAGCCTGGAGCGTCGCCTGCTGTTAAACACTAGCCTAGAGCGCGCCGTCTGCTGTTAAACACTAGCCTAGAGCGCCGTCTGCTGTTAAACACTAGCCTAGAGCGTCGTCTGCTGTTAAACACTAGCCTAGAGCGTCGTCTGCTGTTAAACACTAGCCTAGAGCGCGCCGTCTGCTGTTAAACACTAGCCTAGAGCGCCGTCTGCTGTTAAACACTAGCCTACAGCGCCGTCTGCTGTTAAACACTAGCATAGAGAACCTCTGCTGTTAAACACTAGCCTAGAGCGTCGTCTGCTGTTAAACACTAGCCTAGAGCATCGTCTGCTGTTAAACACTAGCCTAGAGCGCGCCGTCTGCTGTTAAACACTAGCCTAGAGCGTCGTCTGCTGTTAAACACTAGCCTAGAGCATTGTCTGCTGTTAAACACTAGCCTAGAGCATCGTCTGCTGTTAAACAGTAGCCTAGAGCGTCGTCTGCTGTTAAACACTAGCCTAGAGCATCGTCTGCTGTTAAACACTAGCCTAGAGCGCGCCGTCTGCTGTTAAACACTAGCCTAGAGCGTCGTCTGCTGTTAAACACTAGCCTAGAGCACCGTCTCTGGTTAAAAACAAAGCTCAGAATCAATTCAACAGACAATAACAGTGCATTCTGAAACTCAGTGTCAATGCAGAATCGATTTCTTAAAACAATTTTTTTCAACCGGAGCTCAAAGTAAAGCCACCTCTTATAAACATACCCTTCAAAATCTGCTAAAATCTCCATTCATAATCTTAACATTTCCACAGTAGCTTAATTTCGGCACTCTGAAAGTGTATTATTGTCAGGTACAAGCACCACCTGTGACACCTGTGAACGAGAGAGATGTGTTCAGTACTGCCAGTGTAGAAGCGCTGAGCTCAGATCTGTTCATCATCATCATCATCATCATATCCGACAAAGTAAATGATAAGCCACTCACACAATCACATTACAAAATGTAAAATACATTTCCATGGTAACCAGTTTTCCTACAGTATGTCCTGATTTCCCATAGCTTGTGTTTGAGAGTGCGTGTGTGTTCGAGTGCATGTGTGTGTGTGTGTGTGGGAGGGGGAGCATTGGGGCAGAGAGAAAGAGAGCGAGAGAGAGCGAGAAATGGGGGCGGGCGAGTGCTAGAGATGAGGCAATATGTGATGGTAAGAGACCACATTCACTGTTATAGATCACAGTACCAGTGTAACAGGTATCACAGACAGCCCTGCATCGCACCGCTCCACTGTTATCACTCAGCACTGAGAGAACATGGACTCGGCGTTGCCCGCGTTTCTCATTTAATCGCCTCAGAGGAACTAAAAGAAAGTGGACGTTTGTCTTTACAGATGGCCAAAGACAGCAAGAGGAGGATACGATGGTTGCATTCTTCTGATGAACATTCTTCTGTGTTTTAAACCCCTTTCTTGACACACACACACACACACACACACACGAAAAAGTTTCTTTAAGGAGTGCAACAGGCAATTCTTCCCGCTGATGTGCCATTAGAGAGGAATGGAGTAAAGTCTGGGCTCTTTCTGGGATTGATTTATCGCAGATCAAGGAGACATGGCTCAACCTGAAGACGCACCGAAGGAAATGCTGAGCGCCGAGGGGAAGGCAGAGAGCGAGTCTGCGGGAGAAATAAAGCGGGCTCGAACCATGGCGCTCTACAACCCCATCCCGGCCAAACACAACTGCCTCACCGTCAACAGGTCTCTCTTTATCTTCGCCGAGAACAATATGATCCGAAAATATGCAAAGAGGATTATAGAGTGGCCATATCCTTTTTCATAATCAGCTTTTGCTAATTAATATGCATGCAGTTCAATAAATGTCTGCTGTTTGTTGGAGCTACTTATTTAAAATGAGCTGAAACAACACAGCTCTTGAGTTTTTGGGGGACAACTTGATTGTTTTGTGTTCGATCTACTTAAATAAGTGGTAGCTCAGTGGTTAGCACTGTCACCTCACAGCAAGAAGGTTGCTGGTTCGAGTCCCGGCTGGATCAGTTGGCGTTATAGTGTGGAGTTTGCATGTTCTTACTGGATTCGCGTGGGTTTCCTCTTGGTGCTCCGGTTTCCCCCACAGTCCAAAGACATGCGCTATAGGGGGATTGGGTAGGCTAAACTGTCCGTAGTGTATGAGTGTGGATGTTTCCCAGAGATCGGTTGCAGCTGGAAGAGAATCCGCTGCATAAAACATGTGCTGGATAAGTTGGCGGTTCATTCCGCTGTGGCAATCCTGGATTAATAAAGGTACTAAGCTGAAAAGAAAATGAATGAATGAATAATGAGTTAACTTAGGTGACACGGTTGCTCAGTGGTTAGCACTGTCGCCTCACTGCAAGAAGGTCGCTGGTTCGAGTCCTGACTGAGCCAGTGGGCGTTTCTGTATGGAGTTTGCATGTTCTCCCTGTGTTGGCGTGGGTTTCCTCCGGGTGCTCCGGTTTCCCCCACAGTCCAAACACATTCGCTATAGGGGAATTGATTAACTAAATTGGACATAGTGTATGAGTGTGTGTGTGAATGAGTGTGTATGGGTGTTTCCCAGTACTGGTTTGCAGCTGGAAGGGCATCCGCTGTGTAAAACATATGCTGGAATAGTTGGCGGTTCATTGCGCTGTGGCCACCCCTGAAAAATTAATCGAGTAACTAGTTACTTTTTTATCTGATTGTTATTAGTATTTTTTGGGAGGTTCTTTTTGGGGCAGTTCTGTGTGGAGTTTGCATGTTCTCCCTGTGTTGGCGTGGGTTTCCTCCAGGTGCTCAGGCTTTTTCCCACAGTCCAAACACATGTGCTATAGGGGATCTCATTCATTCATTTTCTTGTCGGCTTAGTCCCTTTATAAAAAAAAACCCACGCGAACGCAGAGAGAGCACGCAAACTCCACACAGAAACGTCAACTGAGCCGAGGCTCGAACCAGCAACCCAGCAACCTTCTTGCAGTGAGGCGACAGCACTACCTACTGCACCACTGCTTCGCCCAATGGGGGAACTGATTAACTAAATTGGCCGTATTGTATGAGTGTGTGTGTGTGTGTATGAGTTTGTATGGGCGTTTCCCAGTACTGGGTTGCAGCTGGAAGGGCATCTGCTGCGTTAAAACATATGCTGGAATTCTGCTGTGGCGACCTCTGATAAATAAGGGACTAAGCCAAAGGAAAATGAATGAAATATGTAGGCCTGTAAAATTGTCTAGCAGAGATATTATTGTATGTGTGTGTACCTTGTATTACTCACATCATGGGGACCAAATGTCCCTACAAGTGTGGCCAAACCAGTATTTTTTTTTAACCTTTTTTGTTGTCTATGTAGAAAGTGGCTCATAAGTCAGACAGAATCAAGTATTTTAAAATGGTAAAAGTGCAGATTGTTTCCTGTGAGGGTTTTGTTTAGGGGTAGGAATATGGAGATGTCCCCATAAAGATAGCTGTACAAGTTATGGCTGCACAATGTGTTGTTTCAGCAAGCTAAGCTAAGCTAAAGGAAAACGAATGAATGGTTAGCCAATGATAAGATACACCAGAGTTCAGTGTAATTTAAAATAAATTCACAATAAATTGTACAACAAATGGGCAAGAATGGAGATAAATCACAGTATATGAAATCTGAACTGATGTAAAATATATACTCAAGTAAAAGTAACAATCTTAAAGATGACTTGAGGATGATTGAAAGAGTATCCGAAGGAAAAATTACTTAAGTGACTGAATTACTTTTAATCTGGTTATTTTAAAACTTAAAATTTGATCATTATCAATATTTTTTTTTGGGAGGTGGCATGGTGGCTCAGTGGTCAGCACTGTGGCCTCACAGCAAGAAGGTCGCTGTTTCGAGTCCCAGCTGGGTCAGTTGGTGTTTCTGTGTGGAGTTTGCATGTTCTCCTCATGTTAGCATGGGTTTGCTCCGGTTTTCCCCACAGCCCAGAGTGTATGACTGTGTGTGTGATATAAGAGTGTATATGGGTGTTTCGTAGCTGGAAGGGCATCATTCCACTGTGGAGACCCCTGATTAATAAAGGACTAAGCTGAAGGAAAATAGATGAACGTATTTATAGTAGGAAATGTACTAATTATTTTGATCTTTACCTAATATTACTAATATTTACCTAATATCTGACAAGAGCACCAAAATGTTTACGACGTTCATCACCCGAATGCTTTCTCCAATTATTTTAATGGTTTTCCAGCAGAACATGCTGTGGGGATATTTGTCAATGTGGAAATGACATCTCTGCACTCGAGACGAACAGATTCAGACACTGAAGACCAGCCGAATATTAAACATGTTTCTTATATGTATATCTTAATATTCAGTGCTGGTTATTAAAAACAATCATCATCCATCTGAATTCATCTCTCAATCAAACTCTGCTGGTTAAGAGTGAGATTTAAATACAGTTTTAAGAAACTCCCCAGTCTAGCAAAAGCATTTTCAAAGATACATTTAGTACTTTTCAGGTTTTAATATCTCCACTTTAGGTACTGATAGTACCTAAACTATTAATACTGTTAGTATTTAGCATTAGTACCTACTAACGTTCACTTAAGACTTCCCTGTAGGCAGAGGCTGTCAACATGACGTTATATTGACGTTGCACCCCAATGTACCCCAACGTCGTGGGCACGTTGGATTTTGTTTAGAAATGAAAATCAAGTTGACGTCAGAACCCAACATCAGGCAGACGTCAATGTCCAACCTAAAATCAACTTAAAATAAACTAAATATCAACATATATTAATCATGTTACAGCTTGACGTTGTGCGGGTGTGACCACTATGACATCTATCAGTCACTGGATTTTGGTCACTTTTCAACACAACCTAAAATCAACGGACGTTATTGGACGTCAAAATAACGTTGTCCCTAGATGCTAACGCCCCATTCACACGGGGCTTCAGCGTCAACGCTTCCCATTCACTTTGAATGGATGACGTCAGGCGTTGCCGAACTGCATTGTGGATCCGTCGGCGCCGCTTCAGAGGCGTTGCTTGCTACAAAAGTTGGGACTAGTTCAACTTTTCAACCGCCAACGGAAGCGCCAGCCAATCAGATCACTGTATGCAAATACACCAGCTAGACAGTGGCCTATTGCTGATTGAATATCATTGGCTGACCCTATTATGACGATCGCGTCAGCCTCAACTTCAGACACGCCTTCAGTCAAGCGTTGACGCTGAACCTCGGCTCACTTGGTGTTTCTGTGTGGAGTTTGCATGTTCTCCTTGCCTTCATGTGGGTTTCCTCCGGGTGCTCCGGTTTCCCCCACAGTCCAAAGACATGCGGTACTGGTGAATTGGGTAGGCTAAATTGTCCGTAGTATGTGTGTGAATGTGTATGTGGATGAATCCCAGAGATGGGTTGCGGCTGGAAGGGCATCCGCTGCGTAAAAACTTGCTGGATAAGTTGGCGGTTCATTCCGCTGTGGCGACCCCAGATTAATAAAGGGGCTAAGCCGACAAGAAAATGAATAAATGAATGAATATTACACCTGCTCAATGAAAATCTGATGATTTGATTTAATAAATCTGACATAACATGATCAGAAATCTAAAAAAGGGAGAAAAAGATTAAGCCATCAACAGAAAGTAATACTATGGTTAAGAGAGTCTTGCACGTCGCAGTGAAATATTGATTTTTTTATTCCGGCCACACACGTGTAACAGTGCCATCGTGGTCCAGTGGTCAGCACAAAGTGTTATGACACCGTCGACCCGTGTTCGAACCTCATCTGAGTAATTGTTATTATTATTTTTTGCATTTGTATTGTTAAGACGGTTATGCGGCATTATATTTCACACGCATATGCAAGGTGACTGAAATTGAAATTAAAATACCAAACATACTGAGCCATTAATTAAAAAACAAAACAACAGTTATAGCGTCTTTAAAGGAGAACATTGACGTTTTGAAAAAAAACAAAAACTGAACTGAAACTAAATTATTAAAAATAAACCTGCGAGACTTAATTTATGTTATGTCCTGCGGCAAAATTAGTTTTATTATACTTTCAGTGATCTCCTTAAGGTAGGTCAATTTATTTATTTATTTATTTGCTTTTGATGAAGCAGCATTCAACTTAAGCTCTTTAGACCATGCCCCTGACCGTTTCTCAGTGTTTCGCCGCAATATCTTTAAATAAATTAGCCTATTTATTTAGGCCTATTTTCATTATTAATTAGTTTTCATTATTCGTTTATTATGCACATTTTATGTGCAATTGTTGAGACATAAAATAAGATAGTAAAATATAATCAACAACGAAAATTAAAACAAAAACAGAAATAAAAACATAAATGAAAATGTCTTGTCTTAGTCCTATCAAAATAGCAAACACTGAACATCTCTCTATATTTAGGCTAAAAGACTGCTTTATTTATTTATTTAAGACTACTCATTTGTACTGAATGTTTGTGCTTTCATGTTAGTTGTCTTTTATTTCTTCAATTCTATTTTCCAAAACTAGTCCTCTTTGCACTTAAAAAGTTTACAATAAAGTGTGTTAACAAATTTTAAATGATTAATAAAGGAATTATAATGCTTTGACTTATTGTTTAATCTCATTTACAAGCACAGTAGCATATTTAAAGCTGCTGTAAAGGCTATTTCTGTCCGTTCGCATCCCGTCCCTTTGCGCCCCCTGGCGGCTCATTCACAAGCTGCGGTCATATACTAAAAACAGAGCGGCACCTATTTCAAACGGCGGCGGTATAAGGCGCGGCGGTAATAGTCACTTTGAACTCTCACCTACTGTAATACTGTCAGGGTTGTAGAACATTTAAACTTCTAAAGCAGCTGATTTCTTGAAAAAGACGTGATGGTGTCATTAGAAACTGAATTGGAAATGACCTTATTTTATTATAGTCACTCGTGACCAGTTGGGCCGGTCTAAGGCTTGAAACTCCAGGGCTGAAAAGGAGTCCCACTCCAGCCCTGCAGACACGTCTATGAGCTTTAGATCTTTAAAATAGAGCCCTATAGTCCATTTCAGCTGGATATACTCCACTGTACTTGAATCAAATGTTGCCGCACGTGTTTTAATGTGTAAATGCCCTCACAGCGCCTGAACACATCACACCTGAATAAGAGTATTAAAAGTAAATCTCCAGCACTGACTGGACTGTGCTACGGGCATGAATGACACCTCAATTCATTCATCTTGAAACTGTGCTACTACTTCTACCTTTTTTTTTCCCTCGAGCAAGCAGATTTCACCTTTCCTGTCAGATAAAGAGATGCTTCCAAGTGAGGAAGAAATCCTGGAAGCTGTAATACAGCCACAAGAAAATGGCATTGTACAATAATAAGCATAGTAATGTCAATTCAGTCAGGGATGCACTAACCTAGAATTTTCAGCTTCTTTTTATTTTCGGCATCTCTCTGGCAGCCAGGATCGCCATGGCAACCTCCATTCTACACTTAACCTCCTCCGGGGAGGCTTTACAGCGATTCTGCTCACCTGAGAAACATCCACACATCATGTACTGCACTTTCAGACCGGAGAACACGTGCGGTTATATCACGTCTGCCGCTATGTGGGCTGAAGTTTAGTCTTTTATGATGTGGAGACTCACAATCTATGGTTTCAGCATCGATATTGCGATGTGTTGTGTTTATATGTTGGGATTACAGTTCAGAAAACGTGACATCTGTGCAGTCACGGCTGTTAGCTTGCACTGAAGAGCTTTGGCCAGTGTTGCCAACTTTTTCCAAGCCAAAAGTAGCTAAATGTTGCCAGATGACATCACGCACTGATTTGCATATCAGTGACGTCATCACGTAGTATCTGACAAGCGTACGCCCATCATGTCTACTCTCTGAGGCGCCGTGTATTATACTATATTAAATTAAAACATATACAGATGCACAATAAATAGGTTCTTATTAACATATTACTTAGATGACGTCATTGCGCAACTCAAAACGACATCCTTATGTAGAATACAAACTAATTAATTGTTCAAACGAATAACATTTATACTGTAAAACAGCGGATTTGTGTTTGATGCTAATATGGTGTCTTGGATTCGGTCCTACCGTTGCATAACAGACATTTTACAGTCTGTGTGCAAAACATTAATGAAATCTGTTGCAGTGTAACTGTCCAAAACAGTTTGATTAAAGTCAATAAAAAACACCAAACACAATCACAGAGGCTTTGTTGGTCATGACATTCTTACTAGGCTAGCCCATATTAGCTATAGCAAAAACTTACATAATTTAATTTATTTAGCCACTGTCACAAAATTTGCTTCTCTCTTTCCTAGAAATAAAAAAATTATATATAATTCAGTTTTTAGTTTTTAATATTCAGATTTAAAGTAACAATTTACTTGAGTACATTTTTAGAGCGCATGTGTTTGGACTGTGAAAACCAACACAACCTCAAGGCAATTCGTAACTTTTTGATTTAGTGGCTACCCAGCTAACAAATTTAGGTTGTAAGAACGTTCTCATAACGTTATTTGTAACGTTCCAAGAATGTTGAAATGTCCAGTTTGCTTAATGTTGCTAGAACGTTTTTGATGGTTAGGATAACGTTGTTACAACGTTCTTAAAACCTAAATTTCCACCAAAATATAACGTTCTAAAAACGTTTTGCATCAACATTATGACAACGTTTATGAAATACAAATAACTTCATAAGAACTTTGTTCTAAGA